GTATTTAGTAACTTTTATCCATACAATTTCAATAAAAAACGCTTTTTGTAACATGTTGTAGATATTTTATGATAAATAAAATATTTGTAGGGTTGATTAGCAATGTTTCTTTTCATTATTTTATTGTTGTTATAGTTTTGAACAATGCCACACGCTCAAAAAATGTAAAAGTGTTGAATTTGACAAACATTCAATATTTCGGTATGTTTTACAAAAAAATCCCCAGTTTATCGGAATGCTTAGATTTTCATAAAATCATCTCTACATAGTGACATTACCATTATGTGAAACTTTCATTGAATTCTGCTGGCTAATTGCGAAAGGGTGGAGCCTCCTTAAATTCCAGTAGGTTTGATAAAACTCTGCAATAATACCATCCATACCAGGTGATCGATTGGCTTTCAAATTACTAATGGGCGAATACATTTCATTTTCAGAAGGCAATTTCTCAAAGTCAGTTCTTACCTCATTTGCCTGTAGTAGATTATTTGCTTCATCAACATCTATTCCTTCAGTAGTAAAAAGATTACTATAAAACTTAACTTGTTCCTTAAGTATATCGTTTATATTATTTTTATAGCTTCCGTCTTCACATTTAATTGAGACCCGCTGTTTGTTCAACGCTCTACATTTTTCAAGACCTATAAAATAACTAGTGGATTTCTCACCTTCTTCATACCATTTTATCCTACTTCTTACCTTTGCAGCGTTTGCCTTATTTTCATAGTACGAGCTGATTTGATTTTCTAGTTGTTTAATAGTTTCAGGATTACAATCAGTATTTTTTAACTCTTTTTCAAGATATTCATTTTTTTTTTTTTTTTAGCATTAAGTAGTTTACTTACAAATATACATATATCTGTTATTTTTGTCTTAGTAATTTCCCACCATTCCTTAAGTGATGCAAAATGATGAAATCTGTTTTTCCATTCATTCCAGAATTTGGTAAATATTTCTTTGAATATATCATTTTTTTATGATGTTTCTATTCATTTTCCAGTATCCTGGACCTCTGTTAATTTTTGACATATTCATTTTTATACAAGGCACGCCATAGTGGTCACCTTTTGTACTTTGTGTGTTTTGGAAGATGTCGAGAATGAACTTCATTTCATTCATATTTGTCCTTTGTTTTTAGAACTAAGGGCATCTTATATTAAGCCATATTTTTTGTATTTTTCTTTCTGTGTTTAAGTTCATAAAGTTACTGTCTAGCAAAACATAAACCGCATTGGAAGTGTATTAACTACTACGCATATTTTGAGTTAATTAACTGCTACTCATATTGTGAGTTAATTAACTACTACGCATATTGTGAGTTAATTAACTACTAATCATATTGTGAGTTAATTAACTACTACGCATATTGTGAGTGAATTAATTACTACGCATATTGTGAATTAATTTACTCCTACGCATATTGTGAGTTAATTAACTACTACGCATATTGTGAGTTAATCAACTACTAATCATATTGTGAGTTAATTAACTATTACGCATATTGTGAGTTAATTAACTACTACGCATATTGTGAGTTAATTAGCTACTAATCATATTGTGAGTTAATTTACTACTACGCATATGTTGAGTTAATTAACTACTAAGCATAATGTGAGTTAATTTACTACTACGCATAGTGTGAGTGAATTAATTACTACGCATATTTTGAGTTGATTAACTAATACGCATATTATGAGTTTATCAACTAATACGCATATTGTGAGTTAATTAACTACTACGCATATGTTGAGTTAATTAACTACAACGCATATTGTGAGTTAATTAACTACTACGCATATTGTGAGTTAATTTACTACTACGCATAGTGTGAGTTAATAAACTTCTAAGCATATTGTGAGTTAATTAGTTACTAAGCATATTGTGAGTAATTTACTACTACGCATAGTGTGAGTGAATTAAATACTACGCATATTGTGAGTTGATTAACTAATACGCATATTATGAGTTTATTAACTAATACGCATATTATGAGTTTATTAACTACATTAAGGTGTTGTTATAACAAGTCTTGTTACTGTAGAATGGGAAACGAGATATGTCTCATACTTAACAAAGAGTATTGATATTCATTAAATTTTATTTGTAAAATTCCTTAAACAATTTAGTTATGCCTCATATGAGTTCGCTAAATTTCCTTCGGAGAAGTTTTCCGCTACTGATACAAGATTACGAACATATTTGTTCCAAAATCATGACCTTCTGTTTCAGCCAGTAAGGGATTAGAAGTCAACATATCGTTAGGTGCGTTGCAGTTACTCATATTCCGTCTAGCAATAAGATATTGCAGAGGGTCGGAGTTCAGAACTATTTCTTAATGAACTTTATTCACGCGACAACCACGGGCTGGCCAGGAATATCACTCTTTCGATCGATTTTAAGACATATATTAACCACTGTCTTTATTATGAAAAAAACCCCAATCTGGCTGACACGGTTTTTCAAATATTTTTAATAAAAAATACACAGATTTTAAATTCTCACCAAAATTAAACCCAAATGAAAATATAGACTTTAATTGTTAAGACAGTTTGTTTGTTGAATTGTATTTTATTTATACCATTGCGAGACAGCATGATCGTAATATACACCCTATTTTGTAACGAACCTGTTTCATTCAAACGTAATTAATCTAAAGTATAACGAAATGTAAAGTTGTGTTTTAAAATCGAGAAGTTTTGTTTGTGATTTCTAAAATATGATTTATTTATAGTATGTGTTTGATCTGTTAATTCACTGAATTCGACTTTTATGCTAAGAAATATATATTACAACGATAATTATGTTTCCGTAGTCTTCGGTATATGTTAGATGTTTTATGATATCAAATCGTTGTTGACTTGATGGAAAGAACTACTACCTGTCCTGCATCCAATCAATATACACAATTGTTATATTAAATAACATGATCAATACTAGAATAGATATCCGACTGTACAAAGGGCAGACATCTAAAACATCTGTTCGTCCCACACAGGCGATTTATATAGGGCACGGCAAATAGTTCCCTTCTTTTATTCTCCTCTCTAGATCTGCGCGCGCCTATTGCAGTTTCTGTGTTGCTTCCAGGTGAAACGTTAGCAGGATTAGATTGGACGTTATCAAAGCCTCGCTCCTTTCGAGTTCCTGAAATAATCAACATACATTTCCTCATTAAGATTCTTCAACATTTGAAAAATGTTGTGAAAACGCTGAATGTATTTAACAAAAACGAGTTCAACAGAATGATAGAACGGTGTCCAATACCGTATGAATCTCACCAAATATATAATAACACATAGTAGATGAGGTATGACACCACACAGTAGATGATATATGACACCACATAGTAGATGAGGTATGACACCACATAGTAGATGAGGGATGACACCACATAGTAGATGGGGTATGACACCACACAATAGATGAGGGATGACACCACATAGTAGATGAGGTATGACACCACACAGTAGATGATATATGACACCACATAGTAGATGAGATATGACACCACATAGTAGATGAGGTAAGACACCAAATAGTAGATGAGGTATGACACCACATAGTAGATGAGGTAAGACACCACATAGTAGATGAGGTAAGACACCACATAGTAGATGAGGGATGACACCACATAGTAGAAGAAGGATGACACCACATAGTAGATGAGGGATGACACCACATAGTAGATGGGGTATGACACCACACAATAGATGAGGGATGACACCACATAGTAGATGAGGTATGACACCACATAGAAGATGAGGTATGACACCACGCAGTAGATGAGGGATGACACCACATAATAGATGAGGGATGACACCACATAGTAGATGAGGTATGACACCCCATAGTAGATGAGGGATGACACCACATAGTAGAAGAAGGATGACACCACATAGTAGATGAGGTATGACACCCCATAGTAGATGAGGGATGACACCACATAGTAGAAGAAGGATGACACCACATAGTAGATGAGGTATGACACCCCATAGTAGATGAGGGATGACACCACATAGTAGAAGAAGGATGACACCACATAGTAGATGAGGTATGACACCCCATAGTAGATGAGGGATGACACCACATAGTAGATGGGGTATGACACCACACAATAGATGAGGGATGACCCCACATAGTAGATGAGGTATGACACCACATAGTCGATGAGGGATGACACCACATAGTAGATGAGGTATGATACCACATAGTAGATGAGGTAAGACACCACATAGTAGATGAGGGATGACACCACACAGTAGATGAGGGATGACACCACATACAATGTAGTAGATGAGGTATCACATCACATAGTAGATTAGATATGACACCACATAGTAGATGAGGTATGACACCACACAGTAGATGAGGTATGACACCACACAGTAGATGAGGTATGACACCACACAGTAGATGAGGTATGATACCACATAGTAGATGAGGTAAGACACCACATAGTAGATGAGGGATGACACCACATAGCAGATGAGGGATGACACCACATAGGGATGACACCACATAGTAGATGAGGGATGACACTACATAGTAGATGAGGTATGACACCACATAGTAGATGAGGTATGACACTACATAGTAGATGAGGTATGACACCACATAGTAGATGAGGTATGACACCACATAGTAGATGAGGCATGACACCACACAGTAGATGAGGGATGACACCACATACAATGTAGTAGATGAGGTATGACATCACATAGTAGATGAGGTATGACACCACATAGTAGATGAGGTATGACACCACATAGTAGATGAGGTATGACACCACATAGTAGATGAGGTATGACACCACATAGTAGATGAGGTATGACACCACATAGTAGATGAGGTATGACACCACATAGTAGATGAGGTATGACACCACATAGTAGATGAGGTATGACACCACATAGTAGATGAGGTATGACACCACATAGTAGATGAGGTATGACACCACATAGTAGATGAGGTATGACACCACATAGTAGATGAGGGATGACACCACATAGTAGATGAGGTATGACACCACATAGTAGATGAGGTATGACACCACACAGTAGATGAGGGATGACACCACATAGTAGATGAGGGATGACACCACATAGTAGATGAAGTATGACACCACACAGTAGATGAGGTATAACACCACATAGTAGATGAGGAATGACACCACATAGTAGATGAGGTATGACACCACATATTAGATGAGGTATGACACCACATAGTAGATTAGGGATAACACCACATAGTAGATGAGGTATGACACCACATAGTAGATGAGGTGTCATACCTCATCTACTATGTGGTCTACTATGTGGTGTCATCCCTCATCTTCTATGTGGTGTCATACCTCATCTACTGTGGTGTTATCCCTAATCTACTATGAGGTATGACACCACATAGTAGATTAGGAATGACACCACATAGTAGATGAGGGATGACACCACATAGTAGATGAGGTATAACATCACATAGTAGATGAGGTATAACACCAAATAGTAGATAAGGGATAACACCACATAGTAAATGAGGTATGACACCACATAGTAGATAAGGGATAACACCACATAGTAGATGAGGTATGACACCACATAGTAGATGAGGGATGACACCACATAGCAGATGAGGGATGACAACACATAGTAGATGAGGGATGACACCACATAGCAGATGAGGGATGACACCACATAGTAGATGAAGTATGACACCACACAGTAGATTAGGTATAACACCACATAGTAGATGAGGAATGACACCACATAGTAGATTAGATATGACACCACATAGTAGATGAGGGATGACACCACATAGCAGATGAGGGATGACACCACATAGTAGATGAGGGATGACACCACATAGTAGATGAGGTATGACACCACACAGTAGATGAGATATGACACCACATAGTAGATGAGGAATGACACCACATAGTAGATTAGATATGACACCTCATAGTAGATGAGGGATGACACCACATAGGTATGACACCACATAGTAGATGAGGTATATGACACCACATAGTAGATGAGGAATGACACCACATAGTAGATGAGGTATGACACGACACAGTAGATGAGGGATGATACCACATAGTAGATGATATATGATACCACATAGTAGATGAGGGATGACACCACATAGTAGATGATATATGATACCACATAGTAGATGAGGTATGACTCCACATAGTAGATGATATATGATACCACATAGTAGATGAGGTATGACTCCACATAGAGATGAGGTATGACACCACATAGTAGATGAGGTAAGACACCAATTAGTAGATGAGGTATGACACCACATAGTAGATTAGGGATGACACCACATAGTAGATGAGGTATAACACCACATAGTAGATGAGGAATGACACCACATAGTAGATGAGGTATGACACCTCATAGTAGATGAGGTATGACACCACATAGCAGATGATGTATGACAACAGATATTAGATGAGGTATGACACCACACAGTAGATGATATATGACACCACATAGCAGATGAGGTATGACACCACATAGTGGATGAGGTATGACACCACATAGTAGATGATGTATGACAACAGATATTAGATGAGGTATGACACCACATAGTAGATTACCACATAGTAGATGAGGTATGACACCACACAGTAGATGAGGGATGATGACACCACATAGTAGATGAGGTATGACACGACACAGTAGATGAGGGATGATACCACATAGTAGATGATATATGATACCACATAGTAGATGATATATGACACCACATAGTTGATGATATATGATACCACATAGTAGATGATATATGACACCACATAGTTGATGATATATGATACCACATAGTAGATGATATATGACACCACATAGTTGATGATATATGATACCACTGACACCACATAGTAGATAAGGTATGACACCACATAGTAGATGAGGTAAGACACCAATTAGTAGATGAGGTATGACACCACATAGTAGAGTAGGGATAACACCACATAGTAGATGAGGTATGACACCTCATAGTAGATGAGGTATGACACCACATAGCAGATGAGGTATGACACCACATAGTAGATGATATATGACACCACATAGTTGATGATATATGATACCACATAGTAGATGAGGTATGACTCCACATAGTAGATGATATATGATACCACATAGTAGATGAGGTATGACTCCACATAGTAGATGATATATGATACCACATAGTAGATGATATATGACACCACTTAGTAGATGAGGTATGACACCACACAGTAGATGAGGGATGATGACACCACATAGTAGATGAGGTATGACACCACATAGTAGATGATGTATGACAACAGATATTAGATGAGGTATGACACCACACAGTAGATGAGGGATGATACCACATAGTAGATGATATATGATACAACATAGTAGATGAGGTATGACACCACATAGTAGATGATATATGACACCACATAGTAGATGAGGGATGACACCACATAGTAGATGATATATGATACCACATAATAGATGAGGGATGACACCACATAGTAGATGAGGTATGACACCACATAGTAGATGAGGTATGACACCACATAGTAGATGAGGTATAACACCACATAGTAGATGAGGAATGACACCACATAGTAGATGAGGTATGACACCACATAGTAGATGAGATATGACACCACATAGTAGATTAGGGATGACATCACATAGTAGATGAGGTATGACACCACATAGTAGATGAGGTATGACACCACATAGTAGATGAGGTATGACACCACATAGTAATAAGGTATGACACTACACAGTAGATGAGGGATGACACCACATAGTAGATGAGGTATGACACCACATAGTAGATGAGGTATGACACCACATAGAAGATTAGGGATGACACCACATAGTAGATGAGAAATGACAACACATAGTAGATGAGGTATGACACCACATAGTAGATGAGATATGACACCACATAGAAGATTAGGGATGACACCACATAGTAGATGAGGTATGACACCACATAGTAGATGAGGGATGACACCACATAGTGGATGAGGTACGACACCACATAGTAGATTAGGGATGACACCACATAGTGGATGAGGTATGACAACACATAGAAGATTAGGGATGACACCACATAGCAGATGAGGGATGACACCACACAGTAGATGAGGGATGACGAATGACACCACATATTAGATGAGGGATGACACCACATAGAAGATTAGGGATGACACCGCATAGTAGATGAGGTATGACAACACATAGTAGATGAGGTATGCCACAACATAGTAGATGAGGGATGACACCACATAGTAGATTAGGGATGACACCACATAGTGGATGAGGTATGACACCACATAGTAGATGAGGTATGACATCACATAGTAGATGAGGTATGACACCACATAGTAGATGAGGGATGAAACCACATAGTAGATGTGGGATGACACCACATAGTAAATGAGGGATGACACCACATAGTAGATGAGGGATGACACCACATAGTGGATGAGGTATGACAACACATAGTAGATGAGGTATGACATCACATAGTAGATGAGGTATGACATCACATTAGATGAGGGATGACACCACATAGTAGATGAGGAATGACACCACATAGTAAATGAGGGATGACACCACATAGTGGATGAGGTACGACACCACATAGTAGATGAGGGATTGCTCCACATAGTAGATGAGGGATTGCTCCACATAGTAGATGAGGGATGACACCACATAGTAGATGAGGTATGATACCTCATAGTAGATGATATATGATACCACATAGTAGATGAGGTATGATACCACATAGTGGATGAGGGATGACACCACATAGTAGATGAAGAATGACACCACATAGTAGATGAGGTATGACACCACATAGTAGATGAGGTATGACACCACATAGTAGATGAGGTATGACACCACATAGTAAATGAGGTATGACACCACATAGTAGATAAGGAATGAGACCACATAGTAGATGAGGTATGACACCACATAGTAGATGAGGTATGACACCACATAGTAGATGAGGGATGACACCACATAGTAGATGCGGGATGACACCACATAGTAGAAGAGGGATGACACCACATAGTAGATGAGGTATGACACCACATAGTAGATGATGAATGACACCACATAGTAGATGAGGAATGACACCACATAGTAGATGAGGTATGACACCACATAGTAGATGAGGTATGACACCACATAGTGGATTAAGGATAACACCACATAGTATATGAGGGATGACACCACATAGTAGATGATGGATGACACCACATAGTAGATGAGGTATGACACCACACAGTAGATGAGGTATGATACCACATAGTAGATGAGGTATGACACCACATAGTAGATGAGGTAGGACAACACATAGTAGATGAGGTATGACACCACATAGTAGATGAGGTATGACACCACATAGTAGATGAGGGATGACACCACATAGTAGATGAGGTATGACACCACATAGTAGATGAGGGATGACACCACATAGTAGATGAGGGATGACACCACATAGTAGATTAGGGATGACACCACATAGTAGATGAGGTATGACACCACATAGAAGATTAGGGATGACACCACATAGTAGATTAGGGATGACACCACATGGTAGATTAGGGATGACACCACATAGTAGATGAGGTATGACACCACATAGAAGATTAGGGATGACACCACATAGTAGATTAGGGATGACACCACATAGCAGATGAGGTNCCGAATACAATAGGGAATACCAGGATGGGGCCTGGCCTAATCCCTGACCATAGTACATGTAGCATATTCATTCTCTGAATCTCTCTATCTTGTACGCTCATCTCACTCACTCTGTCTATTTTTTCTCTTATTCATTTTCTTTCTTTCTACTCAATTTCTCTTACATTTATTTCAATTTCAATTTGCAAAAATCGCTTGTAACTTGTTCCCCAATTGTTGATATCTGTTAACGCTTTCAATTGCATTGAGTGTTTTACACACTTCAAAAAATGCTGTGTGAAGTCAGCAACTTCATATTCATCATCAAACTTTATCTTATTTTTTTCTTTCCATACGTGCCACTTTGTAGTAAAGACAAACAAATTGATTATTGCATTAATATAAACTTTATTTCATTCCAAATTAAGTTGCATTACATCACATAACATACATTATATGCATTATATTCTTGGTTTAAATTACAGCTTCCTAACATTACAACTTTCTCAGTTATTTGGTATATTTGATTTTAATTTGATATTTCCTGTAAGGCTTTGTTTATCAATGAGTCAACTGTTCTCCAAATTTCTGTTATTTTATTGCATCTGAAGAATAAATGAATTTGATTTTCCTGAACTATATGACAAAGTGTACATAAACCGTTTGACAGTCTCATTTTAAATAATTTTGCCTCCGTAGAAATAATATCATGTAAGCATTTCCATTGGAAANCACAGTAGATGATATATGACACCACATAGTAGATGAGATATGACACTACATAGTAGATGAGGTATGATACCACATAGTAGTTGATATATGATACCACATAGTAGATGAGGTATGACAACACATAGTAGATGATATATGATACCACATAGTAGATGAGGTATGACTCCACATAGTAGATGAAGTATGACACCACATAGTAGATGATATATGATACCACATAGTAGATGAGGTATGATACCACATAGTAGATGAGGTATGATACCATATAGTAGATGAGGTATGACACCACATAGTAGATGATATATGACACCACATAGTAGATGAGGTATGATACCACATAGTAGAGGATATATGATACCACATAGTAGATGAGGTATGATACCACATAGTAGATGATATACGATACCACATAGTAGATGAGGTATGATACCATATATTAGATGAGGTATGACACCACATAGTAGATGAGGTATGACACCACACAGTAGATGAGGTATGACACCACATAGTAGATGAGGTATGACACCACATAGTAGATGAGGTATGATACCGCAGTATAACGATGTACTCCTCTGATTTTTTATTTTTTTATTAAACTTTTTCTGATATGTATTTTTGGAAAAAAGGAGTTGATGGTTTAATCGGAAATGCAATATATATATAAATTTTCAACGTGCTCGTTTTCGTGCTATTATGATCGGTCAAAGATATCAACTTAACATAATATGCGATATTTGCCGTAAGCAAAACAAATTCCTTCACTATTTTCTAAGTGTGCAATTATAGTTCTATGAATGTTTGCACAATAGAAATATGTATTATTTTCTTCTAAATCATAAAAGTGCAAATTCTTCAATTAATCTTCTTCTCTCATAGAAGAAATTTAGGTTACCCCTACCTCTGATTTTAAACTAAAAAAAACCTGAATAGAGACACCTACCCTTGACTGTATTGTCCAGAGTGACTGCGATGATTATTCCCAATATCATCGGGAATCCAATTATGATCTCTATCACCTTATCAAGCTCGTAATGTCCTGAAATCATAATCAAACAATTCTGTTTTTGTTTGTTTGCTTTGGAACATTTTCCGAACATTTACAATGAATTTAAATTTATATTAATGTGATTAATTTTTCTTTTGATAGCAGAATGCCTAAGTAATACCAGTCCTATATCTAAACCTCCAACAAATCATAAAAGTGAAGAGTCAAATGCAAAATATGCTAATAATAGAAATAGTGTCATATAATAGAAATATGAAACCTTGGTCAGTGAGACTCGGTATGTTCAGCCTTAATGAATGTACCATGTAGACGATGTTAACCAGAATGGAACGCGCAAACACTTTATCTCGGAGTTGCCTTTGGTCAGTTGGCATTCATACTGTCTATACAGAATCCACCTAGAAACTGTTGCGTACATTAATCCACCATTATTGCATTCTGTTTATCTCACAGGAAATTAAGTTACACTGATCAAATTACAGCATCAGTTCAAATATTGTATAAAGCTTAAAAATGTCTTATACTTTCTCTGAAGTACAAACATGCCCCCTGGAAAACTGATATACCATCTGGAATAATAGAAAGCAAACTAATACAGATACTCCGTGTAGAATGTTTATTACCCTTCTGAAATACAGATTTAAAACTTGGAATACAGATTAATATTTCTTGAATACAGATGTATACCCTCTAAAATGTAACTATGCCCTCTACAATACTATATCCTCTACACTTCAGATATACCCTTCTGGGACATATACGCCAGAGGCAATAAGGAGGCACGGTAGTCTAGTGGTAAGACGCCGCGCTCGTGACCGAAGGGTTGCGGGTTCGAGTCACTGGTTTGGCAGTGCTAGACCTGTTGAATGCTAGCAGTGAGCGCCGATATGGAAGCACCGGCTGTATGCTCCCCAGGGAGTTGAGAAAGATGGCTGGTTGCAAAGGCCCTATAACCACGGATAAAAACTTGTGAACCGTTTTGAGACGACCTACGATCTAGGTGGTGATAAAGCGGTATTTTTAAATGATAATAATTTTTGAATGAGTTCTTGTTCCTTGAACATATTGTGAAGTCAAAATTTCAGACGAACATTGTGACTAGTCCATACACGGTCTTACCTATTGTTAATCCTATACAGTTATACTGTAGTACAGTGAACTTCAGGCAATCAGACGAACGTTGTGACTAGTCCATACACGGTCTTACCTATTGTTAATCTTATACAATTATACTGTAGTACAGTGAACTTCAGGCAATCAGACGAACGTTGTGACTAGTCCATACACGGTCTTACCTATTGTTAATC